CCCCAAAACCCCAAAACCCCAAAACCCCAAAACCCCTCGCTATTTTATTTCATAAATTATAAGAAATTCAATTCATTTACACCAGTATGCCTTCAAAAATCCTTTCCTTAAAATTCTCTAAAGTGCACAAAAACACACTTTTAGTTGTGAATCTTAATTTTTGATGGACTATCACCTACAAATTCACCAATTCGTCCTTACCTGTCATATATTCTGGTGAATGTCAGCTTCTATCTCTTGTCCGTCTGGCAACCGGAAATTTTAAAAAGGACCTATTCTTTTGAGGACTGCCAAGTCTTCCCTCCAGGAGCTTTAACTCATCTATGAACTGATCCTTTTTAGATTTGACTGTAAATTCCAGAACATCTTTGATCGCTTCTTTAGTATTATTTCCTTCCTTAATTTGTCTCAATTTATTGTTTAACACCTCCCTAGTAGCGTTCTTTAGAAATCCTTTTTCAAAAGCTTGGATTATTGAGTCTTCAGTACTAGTCTAAATCCCAGATGTGAGCTTTGTCAGAAATTTCAAGAATTTAGTCAATATGAAAATTTCTTACATTAGATGGAGATCCTATTTGTTCATGTAGATTACCACTGCTGTTGAGAAATGAACTTATATCTTTGACACTTCTGTAGTAGCCTTTCAGCTTCTGAGGTACTTTGTTCTGTTTCTGAGGTCTAAAGAATGATTATCAACCTCATTGGGGTGGTACTTGCAAGATAATAGATGTTCAATAATTGCTCATAATAAATCACATGACTAATTATAATTTTAGGATATCTCATAAATTTGAGATTTAGTAGTACTAAGTTTTTACTCTAAATCTGACTTATGTAAAAAATTCAGCTGGTTTAAAACTTACGATTTCATGTGTCTCAGGTCTATAGGAGATAGTGAGATTAGGCAAAAACATCAGGATAGAAAAGAAGATTTTCCTTATCAAAATTTATATGAAAGCAATGAAAAACTCACCCTCGCTTGTATTAAAAAGTGGTAGCTTGAGATCCTGTGGATCAGATTCTTTCCGCTGGTTTTGGACTGGATTTGCAGTTTCATTAAAAGGATTATGGAAGAATCTTTCGCATTTGAAGCTTTTCAGCCTAAAGGCTTTCCCTAAACATGGTGAGATACTTATATCTCCAACTCAGAAAAATCGTGTTGAAGGCTAAATAATTTAGGAGATTTGAGTATTATTAATTAAAACGTATTTTTTAAAGAAAACATTTTGAAAGTCCGTAGGAACTTGAATTATAGAATCTTTTGAAATATAAGCCTTAACATGCAATATTATTCTTACTTCTTAATATCTTTGACTTATTTTCAATTTGATTTCCAATCTTAGGAATCTCCCTATCTTCCATGGGTGATGCAATTGGAGATGCACAAGGAAGCCTCATCATAGACTTCCTCCCATGATAATTGAAGCTCTTTCTCGATTTAATGGGAGAAATGATTGCTTTTGAGCTGGAGTGATTCATTGACAACTCCCGCCTTCTGTTGGGACTAATAATCCCTTCTTCCATCATTAGATTGCTCGGTTGTCTAGTCATTTTAAAAGAGTGAGGGCTTTCGATAAAGGAAAAGTTTAAATTTTTCATCTTATTTTTGTACTGAAGCCCTAAAATTAATGTTAGACGCATTAAAGAAGATTATATATTGTATTGATAATTAGTGTTAAGCAACTTACTTCTCTTTTTGATAGGAGAATGGGTTCTCTTTTTATCTTGGAGGTTCATATTTATTGTATTTTTCAATGGTGATAATCATATTTGGGGTTTTGGGGTTTTGGGGTTTTGGGGTTTTGGGG